AATGAGTTTATTCTCAACATTTTATCTCGACTTTTTTTCTCACAATTTAACGACTTTTTTCTTGTAATTCAATGAGTTTATTCTCAACATTTTATCTCGACTTTTTTTCTCTAAATTTAAAAAAAATTTTCTCGAAACAACAACTTTATTCCCGAAATTTAATGAGTTTAATCTCAACATTTAATCTCGACTTTTCTTGAAATTGAACGAGTTTTTTCTCGAAATTGAACGGCTTAAATCTCAAGATGTTTTTTTTATTTTGTATTATTCCTTGGCCCTAATCCTCTTCCATACATGATGTTGAATAAATGTTGACAAACTTAATTTTTGGGTGAACTACCCCTTTAAGAAGTTTAACATTTGGTAATAGTTAACAAATAATTTACTGTATATAAGACACTGATATTTATCTTTATTCAGGCTCTTATTGAATTTACATTTTACTTTAAATGTTTAGTGCTATTCTGTTAAATTATTCTTTGCCCTAATGAAATGTATAGTTTTTGCAATCCAGAGTTTAACTGACTAGTATTAGTAAGATGGTGGCCACAACAAGTAAAACCATGGTCATTACCATATATGGTTATTTGGTTTTTAAAATAGGCCTAAATAATAAGTAATAATAAACTATGGAATTCGTGATTTTAAAAAACCCTAAACATGTAGAAACTACAAAAACAAATTCTAAATATTCCCAATATAGGCTAATAACAGTAACATTTATAATAAATACATTTCTGCCAAAAAGCAAGCGTAGCGTTAGTTCTGGCAGGTCACATTAGTCAAGCTTGCATCAGCTGACTCTCAGCTGATCCCCATCAACCTATGGGAATACAACACCTTTCTAAGCATTCATATATAAGGTCCCTCAGTATTATCAGCAGTTTTCGCATTGCTCAATAGCTAATTAAATGGCGAATTCGGCAGGCAAAACACCATCAGCAGGAATCGGGAATTTAGAGAAGTGGAATTCGTTTCCCCAGTGGTCTCACCTCCGATTAATTCAAGTTCGTTAACTTGAACACGTGAATTCAC